GTATAAGTAATAAAATAATATAATTATGAAAAAATATATTTTTTTAGAATATATAATACCTAACACAAGCAGCTTGTTGCAAACCATGTTCTATCATACCAGGATACAATGAAAGTAATGTTAATATTGCAGCGCATAATGGTTGAACCGGTGATTGATAAAAAACTATTCTTTTTTCTAACAAAAGTAGTTTAAACAATAAAAGAACTTTGTGACGAAATTGTAATATGAAATCTCTAGCAGACAATCCTATAAATATTAAATTCTTTTATATAAAGGATGTTTATTTAAACTATTTTTATTTACATGATTCATTTAAAAATGTCCAATAATTCATAATTACCAACAAATATTTGTGGTGGTATTTGACTCTCACAACTCATACAAGAATTGAGATGATGATAAGTATCTTCTAATAATGATACTTTACTAAAGTCACCTTCTTCAAAATATGCATGCGTTATCAAAGCCATTTTTACTTGAATATGACCATATAATGGTAAAGTACTTAAAACACAAACAGATTTTTGAACAGTACCTCTTGTTATGTCGGATGTACGATTTTTTAATTTCTGAAAATAAATAATATGTTTTACATTTATTCAGAAAATATTTAAATAATATATTTTTCATAAAACTGTGATTATAGAAGATGAATTTTTAATTCGCATAGTTTCCAAGGAAAAAAAAACTTTTTTTATAAATATACATATACAAATGTCATCATGGAAAAGTTATAGCATACATATAGGATTATATTCCATTATTTCCTTCAATTTTTTTAAAATAGAAAAAAAATTATTTTTCATATAAAAATGTGTTCATTTTTCAAATGTAAATAAAATTTGTTCTCAAAATAAAATTTTTATAGATATTTTATACAATTAATTTTGATATTTGATTAATATTGAATTAAAAAAAAAAAAAAATAACAAACAAATTTCTAAAATTAAAAAAAAAAGAAGAAAAAGAAAGATGTTAATAAAATTTAGAATATATTTTTAAATAGAATATATTTGATCAGTTATCATTTTATTATATAATTTATCTTTCCTACTTCTCGAATATCTTATCAAATAAATCATTAGATATGATATTAAATTTAAAAAATATTAATTACATATTTATTACATATTTATAAATGAAACATAATTGATTTTATTACAATAATAGAGTTTAATCTTATTTAATATCATATTTTCTTAAATTTAACAATATTTAATATAACTATTTAATAATATTCTCTTTAATGCGCATCATTTATAATATTATTATGATTTATTATAATAATTATTGTTTTTCATTTTTGTACTTATTATTTTTTGTTATTGTTTGTATTTATTATTTAATAAAATTTAATTTCATTAAGAATATTTAATATTAATATCATTGAACAAAATTAATATACATAAAAATACAGATATTATTTTAAAATTTCAATAGATTTTATAATATGACATGATGTTATTTATATATATTTATATAATAAATATGATATGACATAATAATCTATGATTTATAAAAATCAAATCTTTAATGATAAAATTAGATTCATCTTATTAAAAATTTTATAAGTATCATTAACCTATTTAATTTGGAATGTTTTTTTTTATGTCTTATGTTTACAAAATAATTTATAATATTTTATTAAATGATGAAAATAAAATATAAAATTTTAATTACCTCAACAGGAATTTGTCTAAAGCATGAAATGCCATATATTGTACATTTTGGATTATTCAGACTAGGCAAATGAAAATAAACTGTATCTTCATCATAATTATGAGATCCATCTGGCAGAGCAAGAGTTGGTAAATATTTCCATCCTAATGGACATTCGTTTGGAGCTCCAGGTACCAAAGGAGGAAACGAGTACTCTACCTAATATCAATATAAGTATAGTTAACATTTATAAATATTATAAATAAAATACATTATACTTAATTTTAAAATATCGTTAAATAATATAATCATAATTATGGTTATTTAAATAAATATTTATAAATTTATATAAACGCTATTAGAACTATTTTTTATATAAATGTTATAAAGTTGAAATTTTTTGAATTTATAAAATTTAAATAATATGATATATCAAATAGTATCTTTTATTATGAAAAATATATAATGTAATATGTTTCTTAAAAATTATAATTAATGAATATTTTTAATCAAAATAGTAAGTAATATATTTACTTGACATCCTTTTTTGTGATGAAATCCGACGACAATCACATGAAGTATTGGTCCAATTGATTCTGCCATATTTTAAGAATGTATTACATTAAACTAATTATATATCTTACACAATTTTTCGTCGTTTAATTTAATTTATTTCGTTATTTTAGAGAAGAAAAAAATATATATATATATATATTTTTTTATTACCAGTTAAACTACACAAACTTATACTTAGCACGCGCTCTTAACCACCATGTTACTTTCATGTATACCAACTACACGATTTATCGTATTTATGGCATATTATTAAATTTTCAATAATAAATGTATGTTAATATAAAAAATATAAAGCATTCATTTTATAAAATAAATATATTTCATAAAACAATATTTTTCATCATTTTTTATAATGTATTAAAATACTTTAATTATATCGAATGTATACAATTTAATAATAAAACAAATCATGGACCAAAAAAAATTTTTTGATAATTTTTTTATTTACGACACAACATAAATTTGACATATCGAGAAATATTAATTAAAATTATATAAATAATTATTTTTAAAATTGTTGGATATTTTTTTTTAAATAAGATTTTATCGTAAGATTTATTAGAAGATAAATTTATTCATTAATATCAATTTTATTAGATAGAAAAATATTTTCAATCGATAATTATTATATAAATGTAAATATAATATTCGTTTAATAGAAATATATATTTAAAAATTAAAAAATTATACGTATTTGTAAAATCACATTTTTCTGCTTATAATATAATAACACTTACTCTATTTATAAAATGCGGAAAAATAAAATTAATAAGAAAACAATTAATTATTCAAATATAACGAACAGATATAAAGAGAAATTTTTTATTATACAATCTGTTTCAATAACTTGAAAAACATATACAGTTATAGAAAATAAATTAATTTATATCATATTGCAATTATGAAAAAGTTGTAGATTTTACGATAGTTGTAGATTTTAATTATTTTAATTAAAAATTTCTGTTAAACATAATATATATTAACAAAATGGACAATATTTCACCAGTGAGAAACATTACCACATCTATGACTTAACTTCGCCAATTTATAGTCTTGATCTTTTTATATTATCGTGTCTGTTTAGCAATATTCCACAGCATAGTTTATATTAGGCTCCATTCAAAATAGTAGGAGCACTATGCTTATATTCGGTCAGAAATATTATTCTTGTTTTCTGCCATCAGCCTCATAGCTGCCTCTCTTCCCTGTGTTAAGAAGAAGGAAGAGGAGGAAAAGGATGGGTGGAAAGAGTTGATCCCTGGAAGACGCGCTACCTGCGTACATTAAATCCCCGTGTTCCATCTGGTCCAATAGGCATACGAAGAATATTACTTGGTAATCCACTACTACTCGGAATCGTCGATTTTGGTTGAATTTTATTTATTTCTTGCATTAACTTTTCCTCCGGACTTTTTTCTTCACCTAAAATTCTTTTTCTCGCTTCCGCATATTCTTGTTCCCTCTATAAATAATTTTAATTATTTATATTATAATTTTTTTTTACATAAATATCATTTCAAAATATTAAAAATATACCTGTTTCAAAGATTTAATAGGATGTTTTGGCTTATCTCCATTCACTAATGGTCCATCACCACTACCTTGCGAATCTCTCGAAGGTCTTTTCAAAATTTTTACCGTCGGTTTTGGAGGTACATATTGAGATCTCATACCATCTTCCCCTAACATTATCATTCTGGTACTCGAATTGTGACTGGTTTTGAAGCTAAGGCATTATAATCACAAAATGTTACGATTATAAAAAAAAAAAAGATGCGAAAAATACGTAGACATAACATCTTACAATAATACTTTTATACCATTAATATTTCTTTATTTTTAATATTTAGTATAAATTATAATTGTAAATTTCTTAAAATTGCGCTTTTTTTAATATCTTTATATTAATGTTTTCAGATTTATTTATAAAATTATATATTATATTAATATATTGGGTTGAGTAAAAAGTTTTTACTCTTTTTTTTCTTTATTACATATCATTATATTACTTTTATATAAAATGAATTGTTCAATCAATAATATTATTTTTTCATTCTTTTCCAACTCATCAATATTTCAGGTTTTTTATTTCTTTCTTTATTTAAACTTTATATACATTTTTTTCATTTGGATGATTTTGCAAGCAATTCGAATAAACGATAATATTATTTTCAATAAATATGGAATACTTTTCATAATTTCCTATTTTATTTCATAAATAGTATATTTATCATTAATAGAATATATACATAATCTTAATAAAATACGATTCCTTTTCGATGCGATATTTCCGTAAATTTTATGAAATTATAATCTTTTGTTAGATATAAAATTTTCTTTTTCTTTGATTTGCTATTTATTTCAAGTTCATTATCTACATTTAATTAATATTTATTTAAAAAATGTTTTCCGTTGTACGTAGATTTCTCAAAGAAGTTCTTTGTTATATATAATCCAATATATTCATATAACAAATGATAAAACTCACAATCATTGCAAAATAATAGAAGATTTCAACAATACACATTTGGAAAATATTGAAATTAAATTCTTTAATAATGATTTACAACATATTACCGACAAATCATTCTTTTTTTGGTCTCTCAGAGTATGGTGGTCCATATATCAAAATCTCTTGATCGATACTTTTGAAAAAATTTTATTATTTTCAAATCTTAATAAGACATTCTCCATATATTTCACAAACATTCTTTACTGTTTGTAAGATTGTGATTGATTCTCTGAAACTTATAAAGGAATAAGAATCAAATATGCACTTTATTAATTAACATTTTGTAATAATTTTTATAACAAAAAAAAAAATTAAATAAAAATTATACGATAAAATATCATAATATCCTACAATTCATTCAATAATTCAATAACTTTTCATTCAACCCAATACTTAATACATTATAGTAATTCTTAAAAATTTCATTTTATTCTTTTTTTAAATTTATGAATGAAAATATGAATTATTTTATAATTAATAATTAAATAAACTAATCTCACCTAGAAGATTCTATTTCCTCTAATGCTTCTACTGTATTTAACTGAAGAGCATCCAATCTTTTGTTGAGTACCTAAAACTCATCAAATTTTAATTATAATAATATAATAATATTTAACAAATTGTATATAACATATATATATATATATATATATTCACACATATAAATATTACATTTAAACTAAAATATTATATGTATAATAATGTTATTTGATTAAATTAAACAATGCTGAAAAAATTTATAAATAAATGTATGAACATACGTAATTATCTAAAAAAATTTTTTCATCATTATCATTGAATTGTTTTCTTGAAATAATTCTTGCATAATTGTATAAATAAATGACATAACATATATCGTGTGCTGTATTATTATATGTTACATATGTTATATATTATGCATGTTGCATTAAATTGTATAAAAACCAAATTGATTTTTATATAATATAAAAATTGTGCATTTTAATATTTCCTTTAATCTATTTGAAAAATAGATAGATAATATTTCATTGATTTTGTTCCATTTTTTAAAAATAGATAATAAAATAATTATTTAAATTTTATATTTTATATATAATGTTCAGAAATTTTTTCTTAAATCTATGAGGTTTAGATTCAAATTTTGCAACCTATTATTGAATAATAAATAATAATTATTGTTATTGCTTTATCAAATATAAAAGTTAAATAATAAATTTAACTTTTCTACAATTTTAAAATTTTATACAAATTTTGTAATTATTTTATTTATATTTATTATTTCCGAATTTTGAATTACATAAACTATTTTCTCATTTTCTCTTTTTAATAATATAAATAATCTATCATTTTATAATTATTTTAGATGTTTAATTAAAAAATATTTATAGAATAAAGTTAAGAGTAAAAAATGATTTTTTTGATCTTTTTAATCATTAAATTATGTTCTTATATTTTTTTGTAAATAATATATAATTAATATGTAAATAAAGTTTCATATTTATATGCCAATGTTTTCATTCAATCATAATATGAGAGATATTAAAAAAAAAAATTTTTATTGGCAATTTTATATTTTTATATATAAACGAATAAGAACACAAGAAGAAAGAAATATAAATTTTAACTTTTTCAACAGTTATAAATTCTTATATATCAAATCACATATTGTATCAATACTTCTGTTCATTACGTTAAGTAATTTAATATTAGCTTTAAAATACCTTGTATTTCATGTTCCATATTATTTTCACATACGTGTACGCATACATATATCAAAAGTGTAACAACATATTATAATTAATATAAGTTTAAACAAATCAAAATGTAGATTTTCAAATAAAATATATTTTTGTTTTATCAATAAATATCATTGACCATATGGATACATTTATTCAATAGCAATTAATTTATATATAAACGTAATTAAAAAATAATCTGATTTTATGACTATAATATTTAAAATTATATCATCAAAGTGTTAAATTTAAAATTAATCCTTCAAAACAAAAATGTTATTCATTGTAGAGGTTAAGGTAATTATTTCATTATCAAATCAACTTCAAAGAATATCGTCTCAAATATAACGTAAAAAATAATTTACCTCTGATTCTTCAATTTCTTCCCAACTTTCAAGAACATCATCCATAGTTGACATTTTTTGAATTATGCACTTATTTTTAACTTTTACAAATCACCTTGAAAAACTTAATAGCATTCGCATGAATCAAGGAACGTATACATACATCTATAAGATTGGCATATGTATATGAAGATATTTTTTGGTAAGAGAGATATTAAAATAGTTATATTATGTATCATATTAGCCAAATAAAAGGATCGAATATTTCCTAGATAAATTTCTTTTTAGCGCCACATTCAAATTATATTTTACACTAATATACGTGTAGTGGGCTAAAATTTATACACTTAAAATTAGTATATCTATAATATAATATATAATATATATATTATATTGGTAAATAATATACGAATTATACATAAATTGTGTTTTTACTTTAACTTTAATTTTATTATAATTTATTCCAATTATTTTTGCATATTTTCATTTTCTTTCGTTATTTAATTGTTTGTTTTTATAATATTTTGATATGGATATCTATATATCTTTGTTTCCTTTTTTTCCGTGAGATAAATAAATCGCAAATTTGACGATTCTTAACAAAGAAAAACTTAGAAAAAAATAGCAATTAAGAATTTTATAATTTAATTAAGTTTTTAATTAATATAACGATCGCATTAATAATAATAAATGAAAGAATTCATCTGAAAATATGTCCATACCATCTTGAACATATTGCTGCCACGTTGGCTGCTTATAATATAGCATTGTACATAAAGATTAGGATACGAAATATATATTTGAATGTACGCGTAAACAAGTATGTGTAATTTATTAGATTTCTTATTGTCTTCTAACATACATACAAAGATTTGTAATAATACTATAATATACATATCTTTCATAATGGATTAATCTTTTAATCTTATTTACATTTATCGATGTATTTTCGATCCAATAATCGATTCGAATTACTTTAAAATTTTCACAAATAACGAAAGTCATCGAAGTATTTGGAATATTTCAAGCGCTTCCAAAATTTATCCTATCGATCAATGGATCAAACATACGATTAGTTTCGTTTTAAATAATCGACTAGAAGAATTATTTTTATATTTCATAAGACAAATTTTATATAACGAAAATATTAAATTAAGTAAAATCATTTTTCAAAATTTTTACAATATTAGTGTCCTGCGAATTTTTATTTTTAAAAAGAAAATACAAATAGAAATTCTCGGGAAGTTATGGTTCGATAAATTCCATAAATACAAATATTATTTTTAGAATATAGTATAATATAATATTAGAATATATATAACTTTTAAAACAGCCATCGAGGATTAAGATAATTTTCAACCGGATTAATATAAATCACTTACGTTTATAATTATATTTATAATATAATATTGTTTATAAAAACATACTATCTATCATAATAATTTATGTAAATAATGACAAGTTTAATCGATAAAATGTAGAAAATCAAAATGAAAGATACGATACGTTAATGCAAAAAAATAAAGCAAAAGTGGCAGGAAAAATATTAAAAGAGAATAAGTGATCGCATATAAATTGAAAAAGAAAATCAGTTTTATACATAACGAACGACACAACGAATGATAAATAAATATTATTTATCTATTTAATTTATCTATTTACTCATTGATATATCAAATTAAATTTATAGTAAATTATAGTAATTTATAGTAAATTATTTAGAAAAAGAATCAAAGAGTACGAATATGTGTAAACACAACAATCAACAGCATCGTAATTATTCAGATTATTCGAAACATTCGAAATTCAAAGAATCTAACGATCATTTATAAATATTGCGATAAATTGAATTCTTATATACAGAAGAGAAGAATAATACGGAGATGCGGAAGAAGATACGGACAGAAGAAGATGATAAAAACAGCGATTAATGATGGATAGTATAGCGGTTATTTTATCGATCGGTATGTAAAATATACATACCAAGAAAAGAGAAAGAAGAGTAAAAGCGCGTGGTTCCGACGATCAATCTCGATTCTATGAAGACGAAGCGAAAGTAAAGAAGAAATGTAGTGGGGTAGAAGGTATAGACTATGACGAGTCGTTAAGGAGCTGCAGTGTTTCGCGAAGGAGACACAATTCGAAAGAAGATCAAAATATATCGTTTATTTCTCAGTGATCAGTGTTTGGAATAATCGTCGATTTGATAAATCGCGCGAATCACTTTTATCAAATTATAGAAAAAGAAGAAGATAAATATGATTAACGTATATTTTGTAACGATATTGGCTGTGGTTGCTGTAACACGTAAGTATCATATTTTAATAATCTTTCGCGTAAAGTTTAAAATAAAATACTTGATATAATAAATAATTTATATTAATAATAAAATTAATAATAAAATTTAAAAGATCGCGTTAAAATTATAAATATATTAAAAATATTTTTGTCGAACTTTTTATTATCCCTTTCGCTATTAAAGCGTACATGTATCTATCGTGTTAATTTTATATTTATCGTATTCAATATTTCATTATGTAATTCAAATTAATATATTTAATTTCGATTAATTAATTCAGATACGACATTATAACTACACGATTTTTTTCTTTTTTTCAAATATCTATTATTTATTATATTATTTTTGTAGTAAACGTGTATTTTCTTTTTTTTTAATTTTAATTTATCCATAAAAACAAGCAATTTCCTTTTCAATATAAAAATTATTATCATACGTAAATATCGCAAGAAGCAAAAAAAAAAAAAAAATAAAACCATTAGAATCGTATTGTATATATTTTTCAAGTAAAAGTAAAAACAGCGTAACATTAATTACCGAGAACGAAAGGAATGATTTCACCGAAACAGATCTCAAACTTTCTCTTCAATTCGGAATAACAATTTGTCACACTTTTAAGTAAGCAACTACTTTTGAATGTCCGATATTTATAATTATCATTTAACTATTAACTATTTAAATATAATCTAAAATTCATCGTTCATTCCACGTGCAAAATAAACGTTCGTGTCTCTAGTAAGTAAGTTCCAGATGTATTCATTTTGCTTGAGAGGAGAGTGTGTAAGAAACATTCAAACTTTCTAAAGCGTAAATGTCAAATCTACTACATATTATATCGATGATGTTGCATAAGTACCTATAAATGGTTACATATATACGAAGATGTGTGTGTGTGTGTGTGTGTATATATATATATAAAACCGATAAATTATATAAAAAGAAATAAAACAATACCAACAAGAAATTTATGGAAGAGACGATTAGACCACTTCGATCGTCTTTCACGTTACCACAATATAAAATATAAAATATAAATTTTCGCTCACGTATTTATTCCTTATTTATTCGTTTCTCGAAGCGTTCCGATTTTCGTTATTACGCGTAAATATTATAAAACAACGTAGAGAAATTTAAGAAATTTTTTTTTCCCTTTTCCTTCTCTCGTTGCATTTCTAATATTTAAACGAGTTGTATCGTAATTTTTCTTTTTTATTATTATAGGATAATATGAATAATCATACGGTAAAATCAAAAAAGTTTTAAGAAGAAACGAATGTAAAGAAAGAAGAAGAAACTAAAAAAAATTATATCGCTGTATAAAACGAATAATATAAGAGAAAGTTTATTCATTTGTGAAATTGTGTTACAGATGGTGCGTTCAATTGCCCGAGTAAAGATGGCCAGTACGAAGATTCGAAACAGTGCGACAAATATTACGAATGCATCGATGGCATCGCCACGGAGAAACTTTGTCCAGATGGACTCGTTTTCGATCCCTTGAATCGAAAAGTAAACAAATGCGATCACGTATTCAACGTTGATTGTGGAGATCGTCTTGAATTGCGTAAGATCGTTAGATATAATTCTTACACTTTATACGTTTCGAATAACCCGTTAAAGATAATGCGATAAATTATAAGAATAGAATAATTAATTAAGTAGAAGAACAGGTATAAAAATAAGAAAAAATCTTTGATTATTTTTTACATTTTTGTAACAAGTACAAATACAAATATCAAGTATCGAAAATTATACATTCGTCGGGATAAAACAGAGTTACTCGAGTAGAAGTTACAGGTTACGCGTGTCATTGGCTCTTGCGGTTAATGTCCTTGACATACAGGATACGATGACGATAAGTAACAAAAGTGCTTTAAATTCCCGTTATATTTTTTTACGTTCGCAGAACCACCTCAACCGACCAAGAAATGTCCTCGAAGGAACGGTTTTTTCGCTCATCCAGATGCATCCGTTTGTAATATTTTTTATAATTGCATCGATGGCGAAGCTATCGAAATTACATGTACCACTGGATTACATTTCGACGAGTATAGCGGAACATGCGTTTGGCCCGACAGCGCTGGTCGAGAAGTAAAATAGTTTTCTTATATTTTACTTTATATACGTTCTATTTTTACTATTTTTTCAGTCCGTAATATCGTAACCAATTCGACGGTAATTAATTCGCATTACTTATAATCGTGGTATATTATTTCAAATCGACAATCGAACGTCTTTAAACGTGGAATTTATCACACGCATGATTATTTACAAGAGCAATCATTTATCGTTAATAATTATAATTTAATATAGTTAATAATTATAATTATATTTAATATAATTTAATATATATATATATATATATATATATATATATATATATATATAA